AACAAAGACCTTCTGAGACGGGTGTCCGGTAGTGATACTCGGGTTGTTTCGCTATGCTGAGATGGCCAGTAAAAATGTGATATAGTTCTGGTGACTTCTGTTTGCACTCCAAGACTCCAAGAGGCGAAGGAATTTAGCATGTCCCGGAAAGCTGTCTGACTAGCTGTTGTGTATCAAGCCGAATAAGTAAATCATGTCTAACTGATTCTGCACTGGATTACCTACGAAGTAAGCCTTACCGAGTCACTGTGGATTGTCTTCCTCAGCGTGAAATGTACTTCGTAGTCACGCCTTATGGATCTGTGGAAAAGGAGAACCATGGAGAACGAGGGCAGTCACGCAGCTCACAATATATTTAATGAGAGAAGACGTTCGTATTGTTCCTTACAAGTACTGTCACGGTGGGTGCAATCATACGAGCAATTTTTACTCATTAGGTGAGTAGGTGAGTACCGTGGCCTTCGATAGTTGCTAGTGTTTTCGGGTCTGGCAAGTTTTTACCTGATTTGATATTTGACAAATCTTAAACAACCTCTCACTAGTTCTGAAACTATTCCGTTTCCTGTGGGTGTGGTAGAGGGTTGCAGTTGTGCGTGTCTGGAAGGCGACTTTTGATTGCATACGGTTTTGGCCTGTGTAGCTGTAATTAACGTCGCGGAGTTCCGCTTCGACGACCCAGGATCGAATCTCCCCGTTTTGATCACATGTTACGTCAATAAAAGGGCGTAAAAGTCATTTCGCTGCTTTAATCGGTCTCCCTGGCTTTTGGCGATCACAGCGACCAGCAAGCCTTCTCATACAACTTTCAGGTAAACTTATATATTATTACTAAATTTCTTGCCTGTCTTACACCGCTTGGGTTGTTAACCGTCCGAGAATCCAGCTTCCACCCTAGCTGCCACTTTCAAGTAGCGCAATGGCCTGTTCTGTCCCGAACATTCTGTCCTTATATATGCCGGTCTCTGTACTTGCTTACACAGGTCACTCGATACGATTTTGTGGATGTTGACAAAAAGGAATCTTTTGCGCAAAGCATCATCGATTTCGATCACAAATTCAACGGACTCCTGGTGGAATTCGTGGATAAACTGAAGCACTATTCGAAAGAAAGAAACAAGCTGTCTAGTTTGGTATCCAGGTTCGTGTTTGCTTTATCATGTTTTCGCTATCTTTAGCTTTTGGCATATATTTCAAGTTTTCCAAGGATTTCGGATTCCAACGTTCTTATAGCTTCATCACTTAGTTTCTCCACGAGCTTGAGATGGCTGAGTGGTTAGAGTGCGAACTTACTGACCGAAAGGTCCGTGGTTCGACTGCATCTCGACTTCCCCTGTCTAGGCATGGGCAGTCTGGCAGTATCCCGTCCCACGCGCTTCCTTCGGATGACATGGCAGGTGGGCACTGAAATGGTGTCGTACCTGAATGATTATCATTATTTGCTCGAGGAAAACAAGCTGTGTGTGATTCAAATCTGATCAGACAACACCTGTCAGAAGAGCAGCTGGACGGTGCATTAGATTTTGCTTCTGAGAGAAAATCTATAGCATGTTTATTGTAACAAGAAGTTCAACAGGACAAACGTCAAGTGCGTACACGTTCTAGCTCTTGCATGTGACCCTTTACACAGAGTATGGATTCGAAACCCCATCGCAACCCACAATCGCCCGCCTATTCGCTGTGCACACTTCCCGGCGACTCCCTGTGTCGGGGGGAAGTTGATTAGGTGTCGATCTCTGAAGATCGATCTTTCTCAATGCACTGCTCATAAGGTTACTGAAAATTCTTCGACAGCCCACGACCGGTTTCGCCCTTGTCGGAGCTCGTCAGATGGGCGCATTCTCCTGGTTTGTGTCAACCTTATATTCTACTTGAAACTAAATTGCACGAAATTAGCGAATTACACTCATTTGCAAACAAATTTGGTTTTTGCGAGAGACTCACATGTAACCCAGCTGAATCCCTCGTTTTTGATGTCTCCAGGCAAATGAGTGTAATTCGCTAGTGGATCGTTCTCGTTTGTGGCTCGATTGCAGCTCTCTGTTGCGGCTATTCGTTGTGCATCTTTGTTCTTGAGTTTTCTTGAACAGCTGTGAGCTATTTGGTGGTTCGCTATTATTCCGTGTGTTTGAATTTGGCTTTCCAAGCAAATTCTGCCTCCTGACCTGCTTGACCTTAATTCTGAGCCATTCTTCTATTAGTCGTTGGTCCAGATTTGGCCTTGCGGCTTTGCCGTGACGTTGTTCCCTTAATGTTATTACTGCATTGTCAAGTGACTTCATAAATCTGCTTTTGGATGATATAAAGCTCTGTCTTTCGCGCGAACGAACCTTTCAGAAAATCGACCGTTCGGAAGGGGATGCTGGCCCTTTCGGAGTAGGTAGCGTTGCCGACTGCCAAATCTTCAGGAATAATCGTATAAAACTGGTGCTTACTCAGAGGTACCTTCTGTCGATGGAAGATATCCCCAGATTAACTGCAGCGCAGACATCCGCTCGTGAGGGACACCTGTGTGCAAGCGAACATCGTTAATTACGGTTTACTAACTTTCACCTGTCTACACCACTGCCGAACACTAGAACAACGGCAAAATTAACCACCATGGCACAACCGACCGCGACGACAGCACAGTTTAGTAGCCACGGGCTCAGAGAACACCTACCTATGTTGAACTATTTGTAGGGACAATCCAGCTTGAGCTTTTATGACAGAATTCCGGGCTGTAAGAACAGCCTTGGGTTTATAAAGGAAGCTACTCACAAGGCTGCTGAAAACTCTGTCCACGACCGGTTTCGTCCTTCTTCGAGGTTGGCGCAGTCCCCGGGTTTTTGTCAACCTTATGTTCTACTTGAACCCTTTATGAAAAAGATACACTGCGCTGTCTCGAATGCCGTACCAGCTGAAACATGAGATGGCCTTTGTGCGGCAGTTGGAGAATGTCATAAAAGGGAGACTCAGTTGAGTCTCCCTTGAAAACAAAATTGAATTGCAAATGAGCGTATTTGTTGAAAGCTTTGAGTTTCCTTTTATTGGACAGAGAAGATGCAAGGGACCGCATACCACCACTTTCGGCTCGCTTTCTAAATTCAATCAGCTAAACTTTCACAGCACCATTTAGTTCTGGGTAGAGGTTGCTCCATGACCGATGGGTGCATGGCCCGTGACGTTCATTGCATTCATAAGCGTGTTTTTTATAGCCGAACTGGTCTTTATGGACTGCATGTATCTTTCACAACCGTTTTGGTGCTAAGGAAACATCTGAAGCACATCTACACCGCATGTGCCCTGAACGTTTCCACCTATGTGTATTGAAGAGTATCACATGTTTGACTCGAACTTGAGGTAGCTCAGTGACTGAGGCATGGACTTAGTGACCGGAAGGTCCATGGTTCAAATCCAACCCTGGCATCTCGATTGCCTCTGTCTAGACTTGGACAACCTCGCAGTAGCTCAGCCCTCGTGTTTCCTTCGGGTGGCATGGCGCCTACGCACCGAAAGGGCGTTTCAGCTGGACCATTTGATGGAACCACAGAAAACAGGATATCAGAGAACAAATTTGACCCTTTAGGCGAGCCGCACGGACTCGTCTAATTGCCGTAAAGCTTGGTAGGCACTGTATATGTGCTCTACTGACGTTTTGTATTGCCATCGTTTGCTTCAGAAAGTTGAACTTCTTACTTGACACAAGAAAATTGAAATCAATTCTCTCGAATTTCGAAGTCCAAACTTTTTCGGAATTCAGAAGTCATTGACTTGGTAACACGCAGAAAATAACATTAAGACCGTATGGTAAGAGTGGCAACGAAGCTATTCAGTTCAGATCGACAAATCGCAATGTTCTTCTCGGGCCGCACCGTGAACCAGATATACCTAAGCTGATAGTCCGTGGCAAAACGGCCACAACGCCGCTCGTCGTCGCTCTGGGCAACACTCGACTAGCAGGTTGTTGTTTCGGCTTCGAAGCCTTCATCGATCTTATCCAATTATCGCCGTTGTGCATGTTTTTCACACCGACTGCGTCCAAGGCAGTGTTTTCAGCTATGCTTTCCGTTGATGGTTTTGCCAGGCTCTTCAGGTCCAAGCAACTCGAGTGCTCTCGCAAGCGTGCGTTACACTGATTGATATGCTGGCCAGTAGTCTGGGTACAACATTTGCTTGATCGGTGAGTAGTTGCGCGTGGCATGACCACTGACGGACTCTTGAAAATAGAGGTTCGAACACGTCCAAAGTCACTTAGGGATAGAATTTCAACTATGCAGTTACAAAGCTTCTGAATCTGGATGTCTGACTTCTCCGGTTTAAGTATATAAGTAATGTAAAAGACTATCCATGCTTTTGCGAAGCTTAACCGGAATGCCGCGTGGATGAAAAGCTGCCCTTATCCGTGCCACCAAGGTTTTTATGCCAGGATATCCTCTAGAAACTGATGAAGCGAAAAACTAAAATCTCTCTCACTTCATCTCCCGTTGCGTCCAAAATATGCCATGCCACCAACTGACAAAACATTTTGTTCCTCCGATATTAGTTGCGGATATGGCAGGGCTAAGTACGTGGGGGTAAAGCAGCGAATAGCTGAATGCCACACCGATGAAGACCGAAGGCAAGTGCTACCCGAAAAATCTACACCCATTCGTCTATTTGAATGCCCTGTCCAAAAGTCATGTGTTCGATCTGACTAGAATGGGTTAAAAGACTCAACGGAAAGTACTGTGCAACGTGCTGAATCGGTGATAGTTCACACAAAGCAGCTACGTCACCCCTAAATGCAACAAATATGTGTGTTCAGAAATAGCCTAGAAACACAATATAGGAACGGATACTATGGTTGATTTTCGGACTGACCAACTTACCGACTGGAAAATTGACCTTATAATAGTCGAATTCGTTTGACTATGTCCTATCTTGCATGAATTTGGCTATTCTGTTACCCACCATGACGTTGAGGACTATATAAATAACCGAATCAAATCGTTCAGCTGTAGCACCCTTTCGGTGCCCAGGTGCCATGCCAACGGAAGAAAACATGAGGGCTGGGATACTGACAGGAGCTGTCGAGACGCTGATGTTGGGTTCGATCAACGAACCTTCCGACCCGTAAGCTGGCGCCTTAACCACTGAGCTATCTTGAGCCCAAAGACTGCATAAACTACTGGTGTTATCGTTTTTATCTCTCCAGCTTAGCAACACACATGACTCACGCAACTTTTTGATTTCATCTATACTGAAGCCGTTATTGTGAAACTAGGAGAACACTGATGCCTGTTTATTCTTCACTCAGGCGCACTCATTCCTTCGACACGCCCTCTGGATTGCGTTTGGAATGTCCATTTTGTTGCTTTCGTTTCTGTTGGTCGTCAGAAGTGTAGTGACTAGAACCAAAATACACACGTGTATGTTTCGCGGTTAAAACGCACACTGTTTTCACGTTCATGACTGTTGTCATCAGTACAATGCTCAAAACGACAAGTTGCTCTTTCAGTGCATAACACCTACGCAACCTGGCTAAGATAGTGCCAGGTGACCCAAGCGTAGTTACGGTGGCTTACGCATGAGTGAAAGCAACGGCCAGTCCTTCAGTTCCTTTCCAGCACAGCTTACTAGGAATCGCATCGTTTACGCCCGGCTCTGATAGAGAAGAGTGTGAGAACACGGTCCCTTCTTTTGTTCAATCCGGCTACAACGACATGCAAGACGTGTGATAGAATCGAAGGGCAAGAGTTAGGCCTCATAACCAATTTCGGTTTCTCGATACGCAGCTGCATTCTGCCAAATTCAAGATGTAAAGATGAGAAGGTTCGTTCGATGTTGCTGACTCGATTCAAGGGCACCACTTCACACGATACACCCACTCGCCTGAGTATTATCAATCCTTCTTAGGTAATCATTCGCTGGGCTTCATAGCACCTCGTACGTTTTCGTATTCATCAGTTCTTAGCCAGATCTTGAGTGTTTTGGTCCTTTTCCCCTAGGCTGGATTTCAACGAATTCTACTCCAGCTCAGCCAACGCCGACCTACTCACAACATTCCCGGCATTTCCAAGTGGTGGTGTCTCGACAACAGTTGGCTCCCAGGCGTCTCAGCAAGAAAACATTGGAGCCACATTCTTGGTAACGCGCCCAGCCGAAATCACGATCCCACAGTCAGCGAAGCAGGACCCCGAAGATATTATTTGATAACCCATCCATGAATTTTGTTTGGCACATGCACAGAACCTAACTTTTTCTACTTTTCACAGCAATAAGTGACAACTCACTCCAACGTTCTTAAATTTTTGTGAATTCGGTGCGAGGTGACTTAATGTCATAGCACTTATTCCGGGTCTGTTTAGCCAGTAAATGTGTTCCCCTCCTGAAATGCACAAAGCGCCTATCCGTGACGTCCGAATATATTATTATCAGGAAACTAGTGACAAATTTGAACCAAAGCGTACATCTATGGCGCTGTTGTTGCACCACGCGCGTGCTCTCGTTGGGTTCATAATTACGCAGTCCTATTCAATTTATTACATTTGGGTGAAAATAGGAATAAGGCATAATTTCAACGCATGTAAAAAGGACATAGTGAAAGATTGTGTTACAAGAACAAAGTACAGATGGTAACCTATCCTCATTCATCCTACCTCTGTTTGAAGATCTGCAACCCAACCCAGGGACTTGAAGTAGCGGGCACCTCCCCGGACGACAGCATAAGCTGTTTAACGAAACGCAAGTGCGCAGAATAGCAATATGGACACAGATATTGGTAGGACAGCACAAGCTGATGTGAAATTCTTTACCCCCTCCTTATAGATACTTTTATTCAGATATTTGATTAATAGAACTATCAGAGTTAGATATTCGAGAGTGGCATGACTGGGTGCCTTCGAAGGGACTTATTGTGCAAGTCTGTCCCCGGATCCCTGTGGTGCATCGTCAGTTATTGCTAGCGCTTGGGACGTTTAAAATAATACAAATTCTACTGCACCATTAGATAAAGTGCGGTAGATTCGCACGAGGTCCGAATATGCATTAGATAAAGTGCGGTAGATTCGCACGAATATGTCCGAATATATCGTCCCGCGTTCATGTAGAATTCTCAAACGATCAATGTGCTGATTGATTGGACGGTCTATCGCCACACTAAGATAGTTATCAGGTTGGTGAATTTACCATCTGCAAACCATGTACCAAGGGTACTTTGGTTCCAGCTGCTACAGTCTCGATCACCAGGGTGGGATGGCATGATCGGCCAGTTCGCAAAACTGGGCAGCTAAGCATTGAATTCGACGGCTTGGATGCACCAGCGCCACTGACAGCGTGATTAAAACATGTTCGAACGCTTCATTAACCGTTGGTCAGTTGAGTCTATACTCCCCTGTCTAGGGAGAGGGAAGCTGTCACTCCGAATGACGCTACAGGTTATTGTTTTCAAAGTTCATTGCCAGGTCATGAGCTGTTTACCTCAGCACAGGGCTAGGCCAAAAACGCCTTTGGAGACAGTCGGTCTTCCGGTACGCGAAGTACATTCCCCAAACAGCGTAACCTATGAAGTGTGACCAACCCAGGTTTCGCACGTCCTCTGCGTGTAGAGGTCAGATTTATTATCCATAAAGCAGTATGGATCGCAATGCAGTGGTGTAAACTCTACTCTTGACAGACAAACTGACGTAACACGAGCGTCATAGGTGTCAAAGGTTGCAAAGGCTGTCCTGGTCTTTCCGGTTCTAGAAGTAATTCATCCCCAGCAAATTTACCAAAGCTTATACAAGTGGAAGCATGACGCTTGTGTTTGATCCAGTCTTGTAACAGCATATCGCAATCTATAGATGTGTGGCGCAAACCAAACCGTGCGGTAAATTTATCTAAGTTACCTATAATAGTTTACATCATGAAGCATTCGAACCAAGCCTTTCACCACCCAGCGTGATGAACCTAGGCGAAAGCTTGCTGTATACTTGTACGCGCCGACAGGAGTTCGCATACAGTGCACTTATAAGGGATTTAAATTTAGGAGGCCCTTGGCCACCAGATACCGCCAAAGTTCCTGACGATCGACAGGGTCAAATCACCTTTCAGATCAAGAAAAACGCTTAACTCATGACGTTTGACAAAGTAACGCTGTTCAAGAACTTGTCTTAATGTAAAGATATGGTCAACGCGTCCACTATCAGGGCGAATCCCAGTTTGTTTGTCTCTGCCGATAATCGACCGATTCGCGCAGCATACCGGGGAGCACCTTGGATGCGACGGCTACCAGGCTGACGCCACGATGGTTCGCATGTTTAGTGACGAACCAGGGTCGAGGCCCTTTATTCCATAGGTGTTATGTTTCCGTATTAAAAATGTCAGACTGCTCATCCGTGGTTTCACCACCTTTGAAAAGCACGGGGTTCATACCATCCGCACCGGGTGCCTTGCCGCGTTGGAATAATGATGCCTTACACTAGACTTCTGCTTTTGACAACAGGCTGGCGTCGTTGTTCTAGCCCGTATCGTTGTGTTCTTCTAGAGGTTGTTAAAGGAGGCCAGCTGATTTATTCTTTAGCGCATCGCCCAAGAAGGCGATTTCGTGAATGAACTGCCGCACCGTCCCTTGTATATCGTTTCGTGAATACTTGCCTTCGTTTGACCGGTTGATCAAACCAGCTGAAATAGGGTGCGGCTGTTGCCTGCAGCAAAAACCTTCCTTGTCCTGGGCCTTCGAAATCCACCAGCGCTCTCCGTCATTCTTCAGGACCTTAAGTGTTCGAAGGAGCCGCATGCAGGTCGCTAGTTGCGGGTATGCTCTTTCTGGCAGTAGAAAGATCCACTTATATAGAACAAGAAAGTGTCCTTCTGGTCATGTCGAATGGCTTTGGCAGACGTTACCGCAAAAGGAGAGCACAGATTCTTTCGCTCTCTTCCATTCATTTTCAGAGCAATCACTATGGGCGTGACTGTGAGTTCCCAGTAGCTTTCTAGTCGGATCAACTCGATATCATTCAGCTACTGAAACTCGTCGAAATTGATGGACGGAGTTTCACTGCTTCGGAGCGCGTATTGCTGACGGAAAGAAAAGTAATAACCAAACCCACAAAATGGCATGATCAAAGACAAAAGTAACAGTAATCCATCCATCAAAAGCCGACAGGTATGATAAAACTGGCCTGCGGCTGGTGGCCTCCAGGTTACTCGATGTGGTACTTGCATCGATTTGCATTAATTTTAATTGGACCAGGCAACTGCACAGCGCAAAGACAACTGTTTACTGGAACCCAGCCCAGTAAAACGCTTCCGGCCTTGGGGTCGATTCGCACTGCGGGCAACCTCCCACACCGTAGCTACCACGAACCACTGCGTCAGGACCACCAGATATGAGGGATGAAATGCAGAACATGTTAGCTCATCGCAAGGGAATCAATGTGCACGACCAAAGTGGGGTCTTGTATGAGTGTTTCGGAGATGCAGCATACATCAACGGAAACAGGAAGCGAGGTTTCAGCGAGAGAAGCCTGCTGCCCAATTCGACAGAGAGTGCGGACACTGAATGCTGCAATGTGGACCAGATCTTTGGAGCTCAGTGAGGGGTCATTCTCGTTCAGTTCATTGCACGATGATATGAGGACAGAACAATGATTAGGGAACTGGTAGGTGGACTAACCGCAGTGGACCAATTGACGTACGGAGAAGGGGTATGAATGGGGTCGGTGAACGAAGGGCTGCAGAGGCCAGTGATACTCCCATGTTCCCCAGGCCAAACAGGGGATTTTGTTTGAGGCATCCCACCTGAAGCCTTTGACGCAGAAGCTTCAATTACAATACGGTGGGTATTGGGGGGCTTTGGTGCCCCATTTAGCTGACCCACTTGGCTGTAGGAGACTGTCCTGGCTTGTTTGTAAGGGGTGAGACATAGACGTATCACTTCCGATGCGCCTACATATAGCAGATGCGTTTACAGCCGTATCACGTACTTGGTAGCTTATTTCAGCTATACTGGACGATTTGCCGGGCGGTTGTGGTCAATCGTCATTCGACTGGGGTATGCCGTTTTTGGGGCCGACCTTTCCTAGCCCGTCTTCCGTTGGGTGGAAACGGCATCGCTACTTCTATAATTAATATGCCCGTCATCCGGAAGGAACCTCTTATGCCTTCGTACTCCCACCTAGACCACTTCGTACCACGGTTAATGACAATAGGACCGCTCGCTCCCCATCGTCTGGCTGTCCTACTTTGGTCTTCTTGGCATGGCTGGAACTTGAGAAACTGAGTTTCAGCCGGTGTAGCCCGCAGGATCATTGCATCACTGATGGTCGACAATCACAAGGTGACCGCTTTGAGTAGGTGACACTATGGTTATAAATCCACTGAGCTACAGAGATACGTGACGTATCCGGCAGATAGCCGCTAAGACAGAATCGAATCGTTCAGCTGCAGTATTCTTCCGGTGCCTAAGTGCCATGTCATCAGAAGGAAGTACGACGGCTGGGACACTGCCAGTTTGCCCGAGCCTAGACAGGGAAGTTGAGAGGCAGAGGTCGCGTCCCAACCACGGACCTTCCGGTCAGTAAATTCGCGCTCCAACTGCCCCTAAGGCAGGCGAAACGGGAAGGTGGATACTCGCAACCAGATGGTTTGACTTAGGAAATCCAGTGAGAGCGGATTCGGAGCAAAATGGTTTTTCAGAGGAGTGGGATTCTATTTCGCAGATAGTAGTGTACAGAAGTGAAATGATTATCAGGTGGAGTCCTAGGATGTGCGTGTGCCACAGCGGTCACAAGTCTGCTTCAAGGAAGGAATCTGGTAATTTGACCTGTTCTCCTGGTTTGAACGGGGGTAATCCACGATAGGGACACGTTGAGCACCGGAATGCATCACCCAGGTAGCACTGAAACAAGATAGCGAAGTAGGCTAAATTACTGTTTAAAGAAATCCAGATCTGACGCGATACTCGTAAAAATGTGAAGTAGAAATGCTCATGTATATTTGAAAAAGTTGCTCGTAACCGACTTCTGACACACCAAGAATCGAAAATTCCTTTAAACGGTTTTCCATACAACTTGCGTGTTCTCTTTAAGATGTGATGTCTTCTTAACAACTACCCTACAAAGTTTAACGCGACTTTACAGTGGATACCACGGGATAACCAGAAACCAGCCCAGATTAAGTACTACATGCTTGGTCATCTATCGGAAGTCCACTCATGCAATTTACCGTTCTCTGAGCCCTGAAAACTAACTGAAGACCAAAACCAGTCAGCTGATCTATGCTGCAACAAGAACCGAGTGCCACGATACGGTACTCTCCACTTTATCTCTGTCTCTCTCTGCAATACTCTACGTAGTAGGGCCCCGGGTGTCGACAAAATTTGCCGATGACTACAATCAGAAATAATCAATTAAAGTACCCTAAACCGGAACATCAAGGGTAAGAGCCTAAGCAAGATAGTTTCCATTTCCCCATCGAGCAGGCACCCGCAGTAACCAACAATCAACACTGATCTGGAGTGCTAGTCGAAGGATATATTGGTTGGTTCCCTGCCTTGGAGCCTATATACTTGGCCTGATGAAGCTGCCAAACGTAAATCACTGCCCAGCTATAAATTCAATACCGTCCACCAAACCTTTCTGGAACGACAAATTCCCAAATAGGTTAAGTTATTAACTCTAAGAGTCGCGCCTGTGATGAATAACGGGATTGAAGGTCCTGGCCAGTCTTGAACAAGCAGCTCGCACTTTGATGGCAAAAGCAACAGTCCATGAAGGTTTCCTTCCTTCACCAGATAGTTGAACTTGACTTGTATAAGAAACAGGTCATTCATAACCGTAGAGAGTGATATCGTCAGCACAGTTGGGATTCACAACCATGCTTCCGGTAGGAGTTCCACACCACCATCAGCGTAGTTGGAAAGAACCTTCTCTAAGACATTGATAATGGAATCTAACACAAACTGGAGGACAGAACACCACTGGTGGTATGGAACAACTGGGAGAGTTACCTACGTCCCTTAACCTGATGTCCCTTCGTAAAGCACCTAAAGTATATCCAGGAGCACAGTTGGTATTTTCCAGCACATCAAATAATTCCATTGGGAAGTTCTGTTCACAATCGAATGCACCTGAGATGTCCAGAAACATGACAGTGGTTGCGATGCTCAAGGAGTTGCTACAACGCGAGAATTTGGTCAAGGCAGCCTAGCCAATTAGCAAGCCTCTTGCAGCTTGAGAGTTTACGAAAGACGATGATGAATTTAAAGCTGATTCTCTGGTGGTTTGAAACATCCGTCAGGAATCTCCTTGGCCTTGAATTTCGCACCCAGATCTCAACAGAGAAGTAAGTTAGCCAGTGAACAGCCAACTTTGAACAGCGGGGGGCTTATCTCATCCAGGTGCCTGTTTTTGTTATTCAGTGAGTGTGGACCAGGGAGTAAATTAGCTGACATGTACAGGTGTTGGGAGGCGCATATCGTCTTGCTGACACATCACGAGCTCCATTTCTTTCACTTTTGATATCCGCCAGCTTTCTCCGTCGCCCCGCTCGCCCCTCAAACTCCTGTACAGTTGGCATTTAACATCCCGAAAACCTTGACCACGAGGATGAACAGCCGGTGTCGTTTGCTGAAGGTTGGAGAGCTCTACTGATTCCGGTGACATCCGCGGTATATCTTGTCACTTTAGTGCTCCACATACCGCATTACCAACGCGTCGTATGGCACTTTGAATGCTTGTTCATTGATTCTCAATGCGCAAAAAAACGGGCGCCTTACGAGTTTGCTGGCAAAGTCACTGAAAAGCGACCAGAAAATGCCATCGCTTAAACTTTGTCACATCGATCCGTCCGGATGGCTATAGTCGTTTACTGCAGAAATACATATATAACTTTGCGCCGGTGAAAGTATAATCACATTGTATGTTGGTGTCCTAGTAAGACCGGCAACCTTGTGTAGACGTTTTCCATCGCTGAGTTATGCCGGTGTGACCGACCTGGGTACAAATTTGATATCCCGGTCACAGGACTGTAGTCAGTTGGTACGGGTACAAATGCAGGGGCGATGAACTACCAGTGTTTACTTTATTCCTTAACTACGTTAACTAAATTCGCTAACCTGAGTTATGGGTTTCCATTATAGGATGGTTGTCACACCTGAGAGAGCCCTATTCCTTCTACTTGAGTATCCAAACCTGATGTTACTGAATCTCCAGAGCAGCGGAAGCGGTAGCTAGATTTCAAACATGGCAATGACAAATTCAGATGAAGTGCTGAGCTGAGTTTGTGAGATTTTGCTTCAGAGGGTATTCAGAGGAACGAGAAAAGTCAATTTAAGGGGTCTCCAGAGTAGTTGCTGATGCAGCTTGTTACTCAAGCCGCCCGAGGATAGTTTTAAGGGAAACTTGGGTCGTAAAAAAATGCCGCATCCTTTTTCGTTGACTGGTTCATAGAGCTAGTACATGCAATTGATAACGAACCTTTCCAGGTAGCGCTGAGGCTAAGCTTGAGCTAAGTACATGCAAGAATGTTCTGTTTGTATTATTGCCAGGTCTCCATATATGTACCAATATAATGAAGTTTCAGGGTCATCAGTGTGATATTTCCTGGCCGCCTATACCGATGGAAGGACTAACAGGAACCTCGAACTCCTTGGTCAAAGAAGCTGGTCTACAAGATGGCGAACTGAAGGAAGTAGCCGCGACTCCCCACTGTGGTTCTAGGGTCCGATGCCTAAGGTTGCGGTCCACACGTGTTTTGGATGAGGCCTAACATCCTGGGAGCCTAGTGGTCCGTTATTCCCTAAGGTTGGTGATGAGCACCATGGATTAGCTGCATCATCCGCGAAATTTTATAAGTCGTCCATTGGTGGTTTGAAATCTGGATCTAGCCAACTTCCTTCGATAGACAACCGGTAGGCTTTTAACCTGTTTACCTGGATAAAGCTCGCTTTCGCCGTTTGCTTGGGTTAACGCACGATACAGTGAACATCTCTGCAACAGAAACAAGCCAAGTAGCAGGTCTCTTGGGAGTATTTCCAGAAACGGTGGACCCAACATACGTAGCACTTATTTCCAACTTTCATGGGAGGGAAAACGTTTCGCATACAGCACGAAACAGGCAAAAAATCGGACCATATCGCCCAGACACAAAATTACTGAAAAGCAGACTAATTTCGCACTTCAAGTAAATAATGAAACACATACTTCAAAGCAGGCTGACCGGAGGAAAGCCAATGCTAGGAGACGAGGAACGAAAGCAACTTACATTGCCACAAGAAGACTTTGCAGCCGCTGAGTTCGCTGCCTTTTCTACTGCATCTGCTTTTGCTTCCTCTTCAGCTAGTCCGCAAGTGCAATTTTTACACGCTCGCTTCTTCGGCTGTCCAGCTACATTCGCAGTTGCTTGGCCACAAGGAGTTGGTTTCGCCAAGTCTGTCGGTTTCAATAGGGAGTCCGTATTGATCATGTCGCCATTCGAAACATCTGCGTCCACAGCATCCCAGGCGGCATCCACGGATTCTTTGTGCCAAGATAAGGGGGCGGAGGTTCCAAGCGCGTATTCGGATGGAAGGCGCGCGAGGAACATCATAGGATCAGTACCCAGCTAAAAATCAGAAGAGAAACAACTGTAAGTGTGGATGAATGTGAAAATGGTAGAAACAGCAGTCTTAGAACTTGTAAAAATGCATGGATTAGCCTTCAGGCATGAAGCGTTACCTGCACAAGAGCAGGTCTCCGAAACAATAGAATCTGCAGTGTCTGACAAACTGTCCCACTCGAACTCGGAGAGGACGGTGGGGACATAATGCACCCCTACATCGGTCCCAGTGATCCATTATGGGGAAGTGGAAAATTGCAGTGGACATATCGCCTCCCGAAAAGTTGCCACCGGATGCCTTTCGTCCCTATTGGGACGTATCAGGCGCGCGCACAGAGCTTTGGTTGAAAATATGTCGGAATATTGGCAGCTAGGGTGAATTTACCACTTGTTGGTCAGGTAGTTGTTGACGTGTTCACCGAGCCTAACAGTCAGTTTGCAAACGTTTCGTAATCAATCAAGGAGGCAACGCCAATAACACAGATACAATTACCACCGCGTACTGTTGATTCCTCCTTGGCTGGAAATGAAACGTTCATAAATTAATTGCCAAGTTCGGCAAACAGACGAACAGACACCGGGTCGATAATCAGTACTTTCACGAACATTTTAGGCTGTTGACTGCAGTCACACGTCCGCAGACCCGTCGTCCTCAGGGATCGATAACCATCCGGATAAAATCTAAACATTCGCTGGTAGTCAAATCGCTAGGATAAGTCGACAACCGGCTTGACCAACCGACCAAAAAGGAAGAAAATGGCCAGGAATGAACCACCTTCGGTCAACAGCCCGAAAGGACCATGTGTTCGAGCCCTCTATGAGCACTTGATAAATCCAAGTAAAGACGTCGCATATCAAATAATTTTTAGTTTTGACCCTATCTCTCCTCTCGGCCGAACTGCGAGCTCATACCTTCATGAATACTGTCCCTTGTGAAGATCACTGGCTACTTAGACAAACGATCTGACCAATCTTCAGTAGTTAGATTGTCTAAGTCAGCAGCTCGTTAGACTGATGGATTGGTATTTAGAAATGCGTAGACAATCAGAGAAGCCAAAAGCCACTGAATCCCGCAAAGTACGTCAGACCTGAAGTTGTCAGAGTGTTCTTTTCACTTGGCGGTAGTTAGAGCATGGAAGTCTGACCTCAGTGGATAATTTGGAGAGTGGGGAGGGCGTATGAACGATAGTTTGCGAAAGAGGAACTGCAACGTCGAGCGGTCTTTTCCGCTATCCAGGTCAAGGATGGGGTCTATTTGATGTACCCTACCTACAGCCTTCGGCCGAAAAATTGACCCACAGTACACGAGGTAAAATGGTCCACTTAGGGAACCTCACTTTTGACGCTATTGAATCTAGCAAGCAGATGCTCCTGAATCCATATCGGGATTTTGGCAAGTCTTGGTAGCATCAAGACAGTGCTTGATCAACAACTGGGTAAATAGAATACAATACTTCGGTGTAACCTTTTCTAATCCGTCTTTCCTCAAAAGAAATGCCGCTGTTTCCATAATCATGGACAAACCTGTCGTCTGGAGTAAACATGTCACTACCCCCACACTCCTTTCTTAAAGGACATGGCAACTTCAGATCAAGAACATCCAGAATAATGATTACTTGTAGTATCGGCTCGTTTTGTCCGGCTGCTTCTCTTTGGTCTTCCTAACATTCAGAGACAAAGTTTCAGCCAGTGCGGCTCACACAGTCACTGCAACACTCAAGCCCGACCATCATGTCAAGTCGGAAGAGACTACCTGAACTTCCGTTCCCTTAGTCTCCCCCATACTAGAATTCGTAGGGCAACCTACTGACATGTTACAGTTAAGGAAACTATTAATTCATGGGAATACTTAATCCTTTCTAAGTGCTTGCCTCAAATCACCCGTGCGAAATCTTAACGGAGTATTCGTTTGAAATGGTGTGGATGGCGGTTGATAAACTCTTTTACATGGCTTAAAATCAGAAAAAAATTGAAGCTTGTATGTTCTAAACAGATTACGCTTACCTGACTGAACTCCACGAAACCAGAAAGCTGAATCATCTTCTTTATATTGTCACATTGCGAAACATTCTCGCGACCGATAAGTCGTCCACCAGGTTTCAAACAAGGTGCTAAACTGGACAAGAGCTCGAAGGAAGTCGTGCCAGAACTCAAAGGAACTGGCCATCCGCATAGAATCAAAGAATAGTGACGTTCATGAGCACTCAGGGCAGACGATTCATGCGAAATGCGCTCCAAATTCTCCATGTGTAGTTCCGTCACATGATTTTTCACTGATTCTTGTAGAGCATTCATAGCCTCTGTAGTTGGTTGATTTTGTGACGACCAGACAACCAACACACGGTCAGCTTGTTGGAACAAATGAGCGGGAACCGTATAGTCCATTAAATCGCAAGCTGAAAAAGTGAATTTTCAACGATAGTCATATTCGAAGAGGCGTATTAAGAGGACCTTATTGTGGGGCAGAAATTTAAACATCAAAAAAACTCGGACGCCGCTCCGTACGTGATGACCCAGTGACAACATTTTTTCATAGGTGAGAAAATTTACGAATTATCTCAAAGGGATAATAGGTAAGTAAGTTAGGTTGAGAAATAAAAAATCAGAGGGTAAGATATGGTTGGCAGCACAGAAATGTAGAATGCTCTTCATCGTTGTTGATCATCAACCGGTCGAATGTCAGGTAAGCACATCAGCCGGAGTAGCACATTTCGAGCGACCATCGTC